GCCTGTGATGTAGCACGAGATGAAATTCAAATCCAAAGGGACCATTATGGTAGCATAGCGAGTGCTGGAGATGTCACAAATGCAGCACTGGATGCAATTATCTGCACTGTCTACACTTCACATCTTCCTGGAGAAATATCAAAGAATTGGAAAAGACAAAAGATTATATCAAAAATAATAAGGACACCTACAATAGGAAATGAGAGGTCAGAACAGGATCTGTATTAATTAAAAAGCCCTTGATTTTCTGTCTTCTAAAGTCAAAGAAAATATGCAGAAGAATACCTCAAAAGCATCTGCACAAGCCCTAGGACCACAAATAAAAGCAATTAAAGCTAAGGAAGGACCAGACAGTGCTGGAAGAATTCCTTTAAACTTCTAGGGTGGAATAAAACTATATGGGAAGATCTAAGTATTAAACAGATTCAGAACTAGGCAAACACTCAGAAAAGTGTCAGCAAAAGAAAATTTGATTCAAAGCACCTGACAGACTGCCAAGGGCTACTCCTCAACTAATGAAACCCCTATATAGCACATTAACAGTTCTCAAAGACAACAACATGGTGGATGATTTCTAACAGATATCCCTACAGTTACCACATTTAAATAAAAAGCAGTTTTAAACATTTGATGGGCTGGCATAGACAGCTGGCCTGTAATTTAGCCCAGAGCACCTACAGAAAGCCCAGGTGTGCAAAACCCAGGAGTGCAAACCCAAGTTCTGTGAAACTCAAGGAAGAATCAGATCAGAAATAACCCTGAGAAATAACCACTTACTTTGTTTATCAGGTTTCACAAGAGATAAACCAAGTTACCTGTCCTGCATATATGCAATATACCTCTTAGAAAGGAACAGCTTAAGTAAAAAATAGGCTTTACTGTAATTTTTGTTGCCATATGTATCATAGTTGCTGCACTTACTATTTTGTCTGTAATCATTACCTCCTTTAATAATGGAATTTTTCCACTGGGTCCCTGCGCTAAGTTACATTACAAACCTTACAGCTATAATAAAGGAAAAGATGAGAATCAAAGACATTAATTCACTTCAAAGGAGACAAGGCTGTAAAATCTCAAATATGACTGCCCATTAACTTATCTCAACTGCACCCTGCTTTTAAAAAGCGTGTCAGCTGAAGCAAGTGCTAGACTACTCTTGTATTTCAAATTGTTAGATTACATAAATAAAAATAAACTTGGCTATGCAGCACTTCTCTCCAAGGAGAAAATGTCACAGTCCCAGAAAACAGATTTCAGTGCAATGAAAGTCTACACTTCTAGAGCTCTCTGCAACCAGGCAGTAATGAGCAGCAAGGGACAAAGGACCAATCCTCACACCGTGAGAGTCTTCATTTTAATGGGTGGACAAAGCTTCAGAGAAAGAAAAGAGAATGAGGCGCAGATGCTATGAACACCATCAAACTTCTATGAGAGGCCCCCCCAGATTGTGAAACAAATTACGTGAGATCTGGTAGCAGGGGATACTTTTTAAAAATTAAAGACAGAAAAAATTGAGAGAGACAAAAATGAAAAAGTAATACAAGGACCTGGAACACCCTTCAGGGAAAGCCAGTCTCTACAGATTTAAACAACATGATGGAAAAAGGAAACTGAATGACTTTTACTTTTCTATACTGGCTAGAATACAACTCGCCTGCTGAGATCCTATGACAGCTGATGTCCTGCCCTTGCTTCAGTCATATTTGCATCACTTCTGCTGGCACCCCTGTGCAAAGTTGAAATCATCGGGATATTTTGTTCAGGTGACATTAAACATTAGAGACACATAAAATGCATTTAGCAATTTGACATAAAATCTTCCAAATGCCCGAAATAGGCTTTTTTCCCTATTTTGCTTGCAAGGCCTGGTACAGTAGATGTTCTCAAAGCCTGCCCACAGAAATGGTTGTAAGAAGTGACTTCTCACAACTCTTGCCATAGAGCTCAGTGGTTACAGCATTCCTGTAGGATGCCAGGGATCCATCCCTGGCACTGGGCATCCATCCCTGCCACTCACTTTTTTGCGGGAGGATAGTTAAACTCGTAATTCATGAGCAAGGACAGGCATTTTTCTGCCTGATCTCTCTGATGCATTTGGCTATGACAACATTGCACATATATCCAAGCTAGCTTTAAACGAGCAGTAGTGGCCGTCCATCTGCTGCGGCACAGAGCTTGGTGCAAACGGCCAGAGAAGCAGCAAACTGATGTATCTGTGCTGCTTTGGTTATTTTACCTTCACCTGAGCTGTTTAAGTTAAAACTCACATAGATATGCCCACACTACAAGATAGCTACATCAGTGGTTGCATTATAGATAAAGTCAAAAGTAAAGCTTACCCCACATTCATATAGCCCCACTGATTTCAATTATTAAATATATTTTATGGGCCACTTCACGATTTCTGTTGAAAAGTACCGAGCAGATGCTGACTACCAGTTCTGACATGTGCTTAAAAAAACATGAAACATATGAATTTTATGAAGAATGCATAATATTTTGCTTTGATTTCTAATCTTTTATTCAAGAATAGTCAAAGCATGTTTTTAACACTGCAGCATATGACAAATCTTTTCTGTGAGATAAGTCAGTATATACATGAGAGCACAGAGCCGTTAACCCCAAGGTCATAGGTTAACTGAGCACTCAGGTTTGCCTTTCTCTCGCTGAAAATTCGGCTAGACAGTCCTGTGCAGCAACGCTCTTGGACTGAGTAAGACAAATAAAGCAGCGATAAATCTTCAAAGGCTTAAGAACACTCCAAAGAGAGAATTTTTCACATCAAACTGTCAGGAGACATCACTGCAGGATAAATAGAAACAGATACGATCTGACCGCGATGGCGCAGTGACAAACACTAATCGACACTGCACCCTACACCTAGAAAGTAGAGGTCTCCTCCTGGGATAATGAACTTAAGGCTCTTCTGGGCTTGCACGAAAATTTCAAGGCAGATTTATGAATTATCTGAGAAAAGACAGTTAGAGACCTGCTTCCTCAAAGAGACATTTCCAAGGAGGCCACATATCAAAGGCTGCCCAAAGACATCAGCTAATGATTATGGCCGTTACATCTCAGCACTGCTGGAAGCCTACTATTTAATAGAGAATAATGTCACGGTTTACATCATATGCTGCCTAAACACGAGCCATCACCCTGAGAAACAAGACTGGAAAGGCTCCTAGACCAGGGTAAACAAAGTCTACCATTTTTCATCTGGGCAGCAGAGCTCAGTGTTTCATGCTGCCTGCTCTGGAAAACCAAAGAAGGGATTAATCCACCTTCCAGCAGGACGGGCTCAGCCCTGGGCAGCAGTGATCCTCGATGGCCTCCTGCAACATGGATATTCTGCCCTGCCATCCCTGTGCTGAGTGCTGTCAGTCAGCACCCACAGTGGTCAGAGACAGTTCTGGAGCAGCCAAAAGCTGCTTTTCCATGCAATGTGCCCGTGTGCTTCTGTGGCAAGCGTTCCCTCTCTGTCAAGGCTAGTGTGTAGTAATCAACAGAAACCTTCTCTTCCTTGGCCTCCTTCTACAACCTTAAACGAGCCCTCAAGGGATACGATTTCCTTACCTGCCTCAATTCCCTACTGGCAATTTAGAGAGTAGTTTTGAAAAATGCTTGATCCTTACCAGTTTCCAATGAATCGGGGATCACTCTGGTCAATATAAACGGTTGTCCTAGGATCAACATAGAAACCAATAAGAAGTCCTCCTAGCAAGTACCCAGCTGCAGGACCGAGTGCTCCCATTACATACATGATGGCTGAGGAAATAAAAGGTCAGAGTCATACATCAATGAAATTAATGTTTCATTAGTTATTTACACATAAAATCCAAAAGTAAAAGATGCTTCTTAAAGCAGGGAGTTTTGTACCCTAAAACCTTCAGAGCCCTTTTTTGCAACCTCCAAAGGCAGCAACTTCTGCATAAGTAACATATTGATAAGAAAATCACTGCTTTCTGTACGTTTTCAGTCAAATTATGGATGGAAGTCTATATATATAGTACACTACTTTGGTATTTTGGATGGAAAGCATACTTGACTTTAACAATATTTTTCATATTTGGTAACATTTCCCTTGATGTAAAACAAAATTTAATACATAAATAGAAAAAAAAAAATTAATGGTAAGCAAACAGAAAAGCAAAGGATAAAAATTGTGTAAGATGCCAAAGAACAAAGTACAACATTCTAACTTAGTTGCCATCAGACTAATACTGGGTTTAAAAGAATGATCAAAGTTGAGAAATCAAACATTCCTATTTCAGAGATTGACAGAATTATGCTTTTATTTGTGTAGCCATGGACTTGCCCGTTTTACATACTGATACCAGCTGACCATACCATATTTCCTGCAAGACTGTTGCTTTATTCAGAACATTTGATCTTTTAAATTTAAAATCTTAATGCTATTTTAAAAGAGATTTGCTAATTTAAAAAGCAAGTAACATGAAAATAGGTTTCTTGTGTGCAACCACACAGACACACATTTTACAACATCATCATGGTCCGAACATTGGATGACAGTGAAATCCTTGTAACTTGGAATAACAAAGGAGATACCAACAGAAGGCTCCTATCCACTGTGTCTTCTACAAGATACTCTTCAGAGTGCAGTCTCCAGTCCTGGTCCTTCAGCCATCCACACCAGGGCATGTGTGAGAAAACACCACAGCTCCCCTTTGGCTTGCATGCCAGTGTTGTCAGGAGCAAGGGAGAGACAGGATCTGGGACCTAGGAAACTTCCTGCATCTCCCAGTAGAGGCATAGTTGTGAGACACCAGTAGGAGCAGATAAAAACATCTGGTCTGTTTGCTGACAAGAACAGAGCTGAGATTTAGGAATCCTGCTCTCATTTCCAGGTTTTGAAAGGCGGATAATTTAAAGGCTGTCATTTGCCTTGCCCTTAAGTCTTGCCAATTCCACTCCTTTCCTTTTCTACTTCTGCAAATCCCAAATCAACTTTTGAACTAAGCCAAGGTCAGTTATTACAACCTTAAATTCAGACATCTTTTGCAAGATCCATATGACCACAACATCAAGACCATAGCCATTTTCCAAAGATTGTTCTCTTGTAAGGGACCAGCTGTATCAGCTGAATGTTCACAAGTCCATGGGGCCTGATGGGATTCATCCCAGATCACTGAAGGAGCTAGCAGATGTTATGGCAGGACCCCTCTTGTTCATATACCAAAGGTCTCAGGAGTCTGGGGAAGTCCCTGCTAGCTGGAAGCTAGTCAATGTTATTCCAATCTACAAAAAGGGCATGAGGGAAGACCCAGGGAACTGCAGACCTGTTAGTCTAACCTCAGTTCCTGGAAAAATTATGAAGAAGATTATACTGGGTACTATTGAAAAGCATTTGAAGAATAATGCAATCATCAGGCACAGTCAACATGGGTTCCGAACAGGAAAGTCGCGTTTAACTAATTTCATATCTTTCTGTGATAAGGTCACCCACCCGGTGGATGAAGGGAAGGCAGTGCATGTAGTTTTTCTGGGTTTTAGTAAGGCTTTTGATACTGTCCCTCACAGCTTCCTTCTGGATAAGTTGTCCAACTGTGGGATGAGTGGATTCACAGAGTGCTGGGTGAAGAACTGGCTGAAGGGCAGAGCTCAAAGGATTTCAGTGAATGGGGCTACATCTGGCTGGTGACTGGTCACCAGCGATGTTCCTCAGGGTTCAATTCTAGAGCCAGTTCTGTTCAATGTATTTATCAACAATCTGGATGCAGGAGTTGAATGCACCATTAGCAAGTTTGCTGATGATACCAAGCTGGGAGGTGCTGTTGACTCTGTTGAGGGACAGGAGGCCTTGCAGAGGGATCTAGATAGATTGAAACATTGGACAACGATTAATGGTATGAAATTTAACAAGTCAAAATGCTGGATTCTGTACCTCGGACGGAGTAATGCCGGGCACAAGTATAAACTGGGAGAAGAGTGGCTGGAGAGCAGCCCTGCAGAAAGAGATCGGGGGTGCTGGTCGACAGCAGGCTCCATACGAGTCAGCAGCGTGCCCTGGCAGCCAAGAGGGCAAACCGCATCCTGGGGGGCATCAAACACAGTATAATCAGCCGGTCAAGAGAGGCGA